TTTTCTGTCTTTCTCAACTTTCTTGGCAAATTTGGGAAACATCTTCGACCCCCCAGAACCTCTTTAGCAATGTTAAGAGCCATTTCCCCACTTTTGGATTTAACCAACAACACGCAACTGGAATTAAACAGATTTTCCAGTTCTCACTTAAGTTTTATTTAAAAATCTAGGACACTAATCCCCAAGTCTGTTTAAATCTGTTGGGACCTTTTGTACCCCAAATCTGTCCAAACCTGTTCAAATCTTGGACGAGCCCCCAATCTGTTACAAAGCAGAGGTTGACCCCCCCATCCGCTTTGAGAACTAAAAACCGAAACACCCAAGGAGGAGCACCTCACCCTATAATCTGTGAAAGAAGTGTGAAAGAAGTGTGAAAAATGGTGTAACCTACCTTTCAGTGGTTAAGTAAACTAAATCCCTGACGCTCATTTTAAAAATCAACAAGTAACAATTTAGTTATCTAACTCTAACAGTGAACAAATTAACCAAACTATTAACAAACCAAATAAATCCCTTCTCACTCCTAACTATTCCTAAATAAAGCAACATTCTATTGGTATGCTGTTCCAATAAATACAAGCCCCATATATATGTATTAAAAAAAAGAGAATTTGGTCTCTCGAACTTACTGCCAGGTTACATGTCTTCTGGAATGTTCTGTGCCTTCTCCGTTGCTTCTTCAGTCAGGAATGTTAACTAGTTGTGCTGTCGGTACCATTGTTATTTGGACGGTGCTTTCTCTAAGACATTGAGGAGGCTGTGAGAGACAGTGATTTTCTCTTGAGATATGAGGGCCATTAGCTTTGGCAGATGGCAGCTAGCTCTGGGGTTTTGTACAACTGCCCCCTTTTTACATTCTCGACGACACATGACAATTTCTTACAATAGGATTGGTCCTATGTTGTCAAAACTATCAGATTTTAAATTTAGTAGGTTTTTAGTATCTAAGTCAGGAACAAAGACAAAGTTGCTGGAAAAGCTCAGCAGGTCTGGCAGCATCTGTGGAGGAGAAAACAGAGTTAACGTTTCCGGTCCGGTGACCATTCCTCAGAACGTTCTGAGGAAGGGTCACTGGACCCGAAACGTTAACTCTGTTTTCTCCTCCACAGATGTTGCCAGACCTGCTGAGCTTTTCCAGCAACTTTGTTTTTGTTTCTGATTTACAGCATCCGCAGTTCTTTTGGTCTTTATTTAGTATCTAAGTGCCTGGTTCAAATTGATTGGTTAAATTCAAAAACCTGTTGTCTTGGTAAAAAAAAACTGCTGCTTGGCCTGCTAACTATACAGCCTTCAATTTGGGTGCTCTCTGTGTACCTGCTAACTTTCAAGCTGCTGCTCACAGACATCCATTTTAAAAGAAAAAGCACATGATCTTTTAAAGGGACCATGCGAAGCTTTCCCCCCTAGCATTGTACAAACACCAAATTCTAACTTCCTGCCTCCCAATCCACAAGTACTCTACCCAACTTCGCAACACAAAAGACATGGAAGCAGAATGAGGCCATTTAGCCCATCGTGTCTGCTCCACCATTCAATGAGATCATGGCTGATCTGCTAATCCTGATCTCCACTTTCCTGCCTTTTTCCCCTAATTCTTGATTTCCTTACTGATTAAAAATCTTTCTATCTTAGCCTTGAATATTTGTAATCAGCCACCCTTTACAGTCCTCTACAGTAATGAGTTCCACGGATTGACTATCCAGAGAGAATTCAAGTTCTCTTTGAGCTACTGTTAATAGCTTATTTAATGGTTATGATCTGACTGAGTTAAAAGAAAACAAGCTCCAAATTACCATCAATAGTTTGTTTGCTGCTCCTTGAACCTTCTTGCAATGCCATTGTGCTGTGTGTAGGCAGTGATTGTACTGTAGCTGTGTATGTTTCAGATTTATCTGTGGTAGACCAGTACTCTCACCCTTGAAGGTCTTTTGGTCTTTCATGAATGTTGGCATTGTCAGATGGGCCAGCATTTGTTGTCCAACTCTAATTACCTTTGAGAAGGTGGTTGTGAGCTGCCTTCCTTAAACCTCTGGAGTCGGCATGGTGCAGGGACACCCACCGTTTGGAGGTCCAAGCCCCACTCCAGCGTTTTGAGCGCCAAATATTGTTTACATTCTATCAGTGCATCATGGGAAATATGCTTTTAGATGCAAGGCCCTCTCTCTATCCTCTTAGGTCAATGTAAAAGATTCCATGGCAGTTAGTTAGATGTGAAGCAGTGGAGTTTTTTCCACTATCCTGAAGCCAACGTTTAGCCCTCAAGCAACACCGAAACACAGATCATCTAGTCGTTATTACCTGCTGGGTGGGTGCTTGCGGTGTGCAAATGAGCTGCCGGATTACCTACATTGCAACAATGCTCATACTTTTAAAAAAAAACTTAATTGGTAAGAAAGTACTTTGGTACATCGTGGGGTTGCGAACATAGAAAGGCAAGAGCTTCTTTTTTTGTTCAATTTACTGTCTTATAAAGGCACCTTGTGTAAAGAAAGAAAGGATTAAGGATAGAAATGCCTTCACTGAGCTCTCAGACTTTCCTTCCAGCCATAGCTGATCTCCTACAAGATTTTAATGTATGAAGTATCTTAACTTCACACAATTTTATACACCTCTATCAACCCATAGCTTTCTCCTCCCAAAGGAGAATAACTCCAGCTTTTCTGGTTTATTCTTGTATCTATAATCCCTCAGCCCATTCTAGTCAATTTATTCTCACCATTCTCAAATATCTTCACAATCTTAAGCTTCCTTGACTCCTGCAGAGGAAGAAAGTCAGTCTGTACTCTCTGGGCAGTATACAATGTTTGCTTTTGTTAACCGATTTGGAGGTCCCCAAATGCCTCAACAGGCAAAGTAACAAAGTGGCCCATACTGACTTAGCTGATGTCAAGCGGAAGTCCCTCGGAAAGTTGACCTCAGTACCAATGGAGAAGAAGAAGGAATCGTCATCCAGGGCTCCCATTCTGCATGGCGATCATATTTAGAAAGTCTGGATTTTGTCCGAGATGATTATGCTTGAAACTGTAGTACCCTACAGTCAAGTAGCCTACCAACATTTACTGCACCTTCTACAGGAAAAAATCTCAGTGGCCAGAGATCTGCTCCTCAGCAAAATGGCACTGCCTTGAGGAAGGAAGGCAGGAGACAACGGACAACATGAATGACTAAATCTATGTTCGTTTGCTCTTATGATTGTTAATATACGAGCATTTGTACAGATGAAATAAAGGCAGCAATTGCTGGAGAAACTCAGCAGGTCTGGCAGCATCTGTGGAGACAGAAACAGAGTCAACGTTTCGAGTCCGGTATGACTCTGCCTCAGAGGTACAGACCATAGATAAATTAAAACTTTAACTCAGATTCTCTCTCCACAGCTGCTCCTAAACCCACTGAGTTTCTCCAGCATTTTCTGCTTTAGTTTGAGATTTCCAGCATCTGCAGTATTTTGCTTTTACATTTGTGGGATTTGTGAGTATATGCCTATTTGTGTGTAGTGTGCTTCAATATCTGCACAATTATGAGCATGTTTGCATTTTCACTTTCAGATATCCATTTTTGCTTGGGTTTTGTGCATAGGTGTGTGTGTGTGTGTGTGTGCACGCGCGCGTCCACTCTCATGTTTCTGTGCTGGTATAAGAAGGTGTAGGGATGATGGTCCCTTATGTGGAAAGTGTAGATATTTTCTATACCAACCTTTCAGAGGCATTCTAACACACTCAACAGCGGGTAGGATTTGAACCCAGGCCTTCTGACCCAGAGTTAGGGACACTGCCACTGTACCACAAAAGCCCACTGGGGCAGATGTGTGGTGGGCGATTTCCTTAGACAAAGACTTTGTACATTCAGTCTTATCATCAGCAACACTTCAGAAGGTGCTGAACTGTAAGAGCAGGATATAAAGACAGAAAGTTCACGTCCACTGCTATTCGCACATGATTAAACAATACACATTACCCCACCTGGCGGCCTGATCAAATTTAGGATCCACCATTCTTTCCCATGAAATTTGAACGAAACGCCTCTCATGCTGAATTTTGGGAACAAAGTCACCAGATTCAGACCTGATGTTTTATTTTCTTTATCTTCCTTTCTCCCCTCTTGAAGATGCTGACCCAGGGCGGTTGCATTGGCACTAACAAAACTTCACCCAAAAACTCCTCCTTCATTGGTTTCCCTGGGCACCTGGCTATTTGACAGTGAAACCCCAACCCTCTGAAACACTACTGTTCCAATCCTGGCTCCCTGTCCATTACCGACCCATCCTCACCATCATTAATGGCCCTACCTACAGCCTCCTCAGCTAAACTTCTGGAATTTTGTCTTCACCCCTCCTTTAAGAATCTTCCCAATATGGTTTTGGCCATGGCTTAGGTCACCGATCTGAATATTTCCTACTTGGTATCAGCATTCATTTGATTAAGCTGAAATTAATTGCCTTGTTACATGGAGATAGTAAGAACTGCCGATGCTGGAGTCAGATATAACACAGTGTGGAGCTGGAGGAATACAGCAGGCCAGGCAGCATCAGAGGAGCAGGAAAGCTGATGTTACGTCAGCTTTTCTACTCCTCCGATGCTGCCAGGCCTGCTGTGTTCCTCCAGTTCCACCCTGTGTTACACCTGCCTTGATACATGCTTGTTTTCATGAAAACATTACAGTCCTCAGCCAGCACAGTCCCAAGAAAGCTGGAGGAACAGCACCTTACTTTCCAAATAGGTACCTTATAGCCCTTCAGGGCAACTTCAGAGCATGAACACTACCATCTATTTAGGGAGAAAGCAGGACCAGGGTAGTGAGTTCGATGATCAGCCGTGGTCATATTGAATGACGATGCAGGCTTGAAGGGCTGAATGGCCTACTCCTGCTCCTATTTCCTATGTTTCTGTTTGTATGTTTCACCTCACTTTCATATCTCTGTATTCTGTGGCTTTGTTTGTGAAGATGCGGAGGTACCGGCGTTGGACTGGGGTGGACAAGGTTAAAAATCACATGACACCAGGTTATAGCCCATCAGGTTTATTTGAAAACACAAGCTTTCGGAGTCACTCTCCTTCTTCAGGTGCCCATGTGACAGGAAGCAAAAAGACACAGAATTTTTAAGTAAAAGATCAAAGGGTCTTACAACTGATGCAAATTAAACAGACCTAAGATGCTGTTAAATCTTTAATCAGTTAGAAAGGAGATGCAGGTTTCAATTTGTTATTCAGATAAGGAGGAACACGACGGACACCTGAAATTGTTGAACGACGCCCTCATAAGAACAGAAAATGATGCTCAACTCATCAGTTCCAACTGCCAGTTCCAATGTGCCACAGCAGAAAACCATCATGTCCTCCTCAGAGGATGGACCAATCGGGTACCCTTCGTCGTCCAGTACTTCCCGGGAGTGGAGAAACTACGCCATGCTCTTCACAGCCTTCAACACATTAATGATGACAATGAGCACCTCACCAAGATCTTGCCCACAGCTCCACTTTTCGCTTTCAAACAACCGCCAAACCTTAACCAGACCATTGTTTGCAGCAAACTACCCAGCCTTCAGGACAACATCGACCACGAAACCACGCAACCCTGCCACGGCAACCTCTGCATGACATATCAGATCATCGACATGGACACTACCATGACACATGGGAGCACCATCCACCACATGCACGGCAGATACTCATGTGACTTGGCCAACGTTGTCTATCTCATATGCTGCAAGGATGCCCTGAGGCATGGCACGTTGTGGAGACCGTGCAGGTGCTATGACAATGGATCATTGGACGCCATGCAACAACCACCAGACAGGAATGTTCCCTCCCAGTGGGGGAACACTTCAGCGGTCAAGGACATTCGTCCTCTGATTTTTGGATAAACGGCCTCCAAGGCAGACTTTGGGATACACAACAAATGCAGAGTCACTGAGCAGAGGGTGGTAGCCAAGTTCCTGTACCCATGAGGACGGCCTCAACAGGGATCTTAGGTTCATGGCGCACTACAGGTGGCCTCACCACTCTATGCACTCACATACACGCGCGCACACACACACACACACTCAAAAAGCACACAATTTGTAGACAGTCAGTCAATGTGGTATTTTATAAATTCCTACGTTAGAAAAAAAAAGACTCCAAGTCAAAACACAAACAGATTCTAAGCAGGAACTGAAAGAGCTGCGGATGCCGTGAATCAGGTACAAAAACAAAGTTGCTGGAAAAGCTCAGCAGATCTTAGCAGCATCTGTGAAGGAAAAAACAGAGCTTCCCTCTGAGGAAGGGTCACCGGACCCGAAACGTTATCTCTACTTTCTCCTTCACAGATGCTGCCAGACCTGCTGAGCTTTTCCAGCAACTTTGTTTTTGTACCTGATTCTAAGCAGGGCCTCACACCTAAAACCCATTGTCTGACCTGAGATACCACTTCTTCTTCTTCACACTGATAAAACCTTCACTTGTCTCTGGGTAGAAATTCAGGGATTTTCATATTAACGAATTGAAACCTGCATCTCCTTTCCTAACTGATTAAAGATTTAACAGCATCTTAGGTCTGTTCAATTCGCATCAGTTGTCTGACCCTTTGATCTTTTACTGAAAAACTCTGTCCTTTTGCTTCCCCTCCCGCGAGCATCTGAAGAAGGAAAGAGACTCCAAAAGCTTGTGTTTTTAGATAAACCTGTTGGACTATAACAACCTGGTGTCGTTTTATTTGCGAAGCCCAAGATGCAACACCTAGACGTGGACTCTACTCAAGAAGGTGAATAGCTCCGAATTTATCAAGGTGCTAATGGAAAGAGTCTTGCCTTTAAAGGTGGCTATCATTGGCCTTGGAAGAGATTAGTCACAACACCACTGTGTTCTGAAACTACTCAGAAGTAGCCCAGTGATTTTTTTTCAGTGCATGTTGGCATCTTTCAATACAAGTGAAGTTATTAAAATGCTTTCAGAAGAGCAGAGATTATTCAGTACTAGCCCTGAACCAACAACAATCCACACAATTTATGCATTTATAAAGCACCTTTAACATGATACTATTAATCATAGAATAGAATCCCTACAGTGTGGAAACAGGCCCATCGGCCCAACAAGTCCACACTGACCCTCAGAGCACCCACCCAAACCCATCCTGCTATAACCCACCTAATCTATACATCCCTGAACACTATGGGCAATTTAGCATAGCCAATCCACCTAGCCTGCACATCTTTGGACTGTGGGAGGAAACCGGAGCACCCAGAGGAAACCCAAACAGACACGGGGAGAATGTGCAAACTCCACACAGACAGTTGCCCAAGGGTGGAATTGAACCGGGGTCCCTGGCACTGTGAGGCAGCAATGCTAACCACTGTGTCACCATGCCGCCCCTAAATATGTCCCAGCTCTTTGCAGAAATACCTGGTGGGCTATTCTCACAGTGTAGAACCACTTTGTAAAGCAGACAAAATTCGCCACGTGCACAGACATTAGACTGGATGACCATGAGCTTGGTTGGAATGGGGGTTTTAAGGAGTATCATAAAGAAGGGGACAGAGAGTTGGAGTGGTAGTGAACTGAAAGCACAGCCAGCAATAAGGGAGTAAAAGAAATTAGGGACACACAAAAATTAGAAGAGTAGAGAGATCACAGATATGTTATGGCACAGAAGGAGGCCATTATGCCCATCATGCCTGCCTGACTTATTAACTGAGCATCATTTCCCAGTGCCAATCTCTTGTTTTTCCCCCATACCCTTGCACATTATGTTTATCCAAATAATCATCCAGTGGCCTCCTGAACATCTCAATTGATACTGGAGACTAATAGTGGATAGTGGACAGTGGAGAGATTTGAAGTCAGTCATAGACTAGAATCCCAACAGTGTGGAAGCAGCCCATTTAGCCCATTGAGTCCTCACTGACCCTCTGAAGACCATCCCACCCTACGCTATATTCCCCATGACAAACCCACATAACCTGCACATCTTTGGACAACGGAAGGAAACCAGAGCACCACACAGACACAGGGACAATGTGAAAACCCCACAGGCAGTCACCTGAGGCAGGAATCAAACCCAGGTCCCTAGCGCTGTCAGGCAACAGTGCTAACCTTTGAGCCACCATACCACCCTAACAGCAAGGCTGAAAATATTAGAGCCAAGACACTGCCAAATCAGGGTCCAATGTGGGTCAGCAAGCACAAGGATGGGTGGGCTATAGGAATGATAGTATAACAGAACTTGGCATAAGTAGGATTTATGTAGCAGAGTTTTGAATGCATGGATGATTATGCAGGGTGTCTATCTCTTGTATGTTTTATAAAAACTGAAAGAACTGCAGATGCTGTAAATCAGGAACAAAAACAGAAGTTCCTGGAAAAGCTCAGCAGGTCTGGCAGCATTTGTGAAGAAAAAGTCAGAGTTAACGTTTCGGGTCCGGTGACCCTTCCTCAGAACTCAGAACTGGACCCGAAATGTTAACTCTATTTTTCTCTTCACAGATGCTGCCAGACCTACTGAGCTTTTCCAACAGCTTCTGATTTGGTTCTGTACGTTTTATCTCTAATTCCTCCTGAAATCATCAAGCCTATCCTCATTGTGACACCTAGCAAAAGTGTTTCTTCCATCTCATCCACACTAAACCACTGTTCATTTCATCCCATTTCCTGGCCTCCATTTTAGTGGATGTTGCAAATGGCTCCTTATTCCAGATTCTGTTCTCCTTCCTTTCAAAACTGTTATCACCACATCGTCTTCAAAAACTCGGTCTGTCCTTGCAAAATCCAAGGCCTTGACGGTGTTTCTATCTCCCAAAACTAGGCCTGACTTCCTCCAACACGAAAACAACCCTGACCAAACTTGTGCATAATATACAGACCTACAAATCTGAGGCAGAAGCAGACCATTCAGCCCCTCGAGCTTTCTCCATTCATTAAGATCATGGCTGATCTGTTTGTGTTTCAAATTCCGGATAACCTTTGATTCCTCTTCCGAACAAGAATCTACTTCCACCTCAAAAATATTCAATGACCTCAACTCCACCACCTTTTTACATAGAATACCTACAGTGGGGAAACAGGCCATTCGGCCCAACAAGTCTACACTCCCCCTCCGAAGAGCACCTCATCCTGACCCATTTCCCCATGTCTAACCCAAACATCCCTGGGCACTACGGGCAATTTAGCATGGCCAATCTCTCAACACACTTGCTCCACTGCTGATGGCCATCTTCAGCTATCTATATCCCACTGTGTGGAGTTTCAGACCTAAAGCCCTTTGCTTATTCATCTCAATTGCCCTCCTATCCCCTAATTTTCTTTTATGACATGTTCTTTGATGAGTGTCTTATTCTTTTGCTTACACCTGTCAGTAAAGAATATTGAAACCTTTGTTCCATTTTATAGTTATCATTACAAACACAAACACCCATTTAAAGTGAATATTATGCAGAACGCCTCTCTTTAAATGTGATGAAATTCTTAATGACTATAAGTGTCTGAGGAGTGATGTGAGCAACAGCACCATTTCTTTCAGATTGTCTGTGTCAGTCAGTGAGAGACATGTGAAGACGTGTTAGCAAGGAAGCACAGCACCTTATCATATTTCACAGAAACATCTTGAAACTCTTTACATGTGGTGAATTACCAACCAGACCATACACAGCTATGACATTCTATTTGACACTGAGCTGAAATTGTGCATTATCATCTCTGCAATTATGTCTATCTTCCACCTTGCTTCAACTGGTCCCGAATACCCCATCCCGGCATCTGGAGACAACTATTTTAGCTCTCTTTGATTTCCACTTTGTACCCAACACAAACTGGAGCTCTTCCAAAACTGATGCCATAGCCTCAGGCCGATTCACTTCTGTGTGTCCAATTTTAAAATTCCCATTCTTGTTTTCCAACACGGCCATGGATCACCCCTCCCTATATCTCTAATCCTAGATTAGGATTATTTACATTAGAAAGACAGAGGTTGAGGGGGAACCTGATTGAGGTCTACAAAATCATGAGAGGGATAGACAGGGTGGATAGCAAGATGCTTTTTCCCAGAGTAGGGGACTCAATTACTAGGGGTCATGATCTCAAGGGGAGAGGGGAAAAGTTTAAGGGAGATATGTGTGGAAAGTTCTTTACGCAGAGGGTGGTGGGTGCCTGTAACGCGTTGCCAGCGGAGGTGGTAGAGGCAGGCACGATAGCGTCATTTAAGATGTATCTAGACAGATACATGAATGGGCAGGGAGCAGAGAGATACAGAACCTTGGAAAATAGGCAACAGGTTTAGATAGAGGATCTGGATCGGTGCAGGCTTGGAGGGCCGAAGGGCCTGTTCCTGTGCTGTAATTTTCTTTGTTCTTTGTAATCTCCTCCAGTTCTACAATCATACAAGACCCCTGTTTTCTTCTAATTCTGGCCTCCTTAGTGCATCTTCTTGGCCATCAAAGAGTCACTGATT